CTCCTGCTCCCTCTTCTCGCGGTACACGCGCTCCGCCTCACGCACCTCCTGGACCGCATCGTACAGCTTCTGCGCCGACTGCACGGACCCTCCGAACCCCTGCAGCATCTCACCCAGCTGGCCCACGGAGATGTCGTGGAGCCCGCCGATGACCTGCTGCGGCGACTGCGCCTGCCCTCGCTCAGGCTGCGGTGGCTGAGGGCAGGCAACGACCAACTCGCGCCTCTGCTGCTCGATCTCGACCATCTCACTCTTGGTGGCGCTGAGCTCCTTGTTGGCCCGCACCACCGCTTCCTGGGCGAACCTGACCTTCTCCTCCAACTCTCGAATGTTCTCTTCCTGCTTCGCTGCCTTCTTACAAAGCCGCTGATGCGTGAAAGAGAGCTCTTTGAGGCGTGTGTCCAGAGGCTTGGCCGCAGAGACACGCTGCCGCAAGCGCGCCTGTCGCTCGCGCATCTGCTGGCAAGCCTGCTGCACCTCCTTACATTGAACGTCCTTGATAGCGTCGATCTGCGAGTTGAGCTCCGCCAGCTGCTGCTTGAGATCGCCGTCGGCCCCCCCCTCGTCCACCTCCATTGCATCCCGTGGGTCTGGAGGTGATGGCGGGGGCCCTCGAGCGAGCTGCGCACGAAGCTTCTCCAACTCTGCCTGGCATTGCTTGAGCTGCTGCTCGACCTTGCCGCTGCTGCCCGAAGCTGCACGCTGCTGCGCGTGCACTGCAGGGACTGTGGGCAAGGTACGCGGGCCACCGTAGCAGACTGACTGATGCAGGTTGCACTTGCTGCAATGAAGTCGATCGGCCCGGTTCCACCAGCTCTCTCCCTGATTGTTCCAGCACGACTTGCAGTTCCACGGCTGGGCCCAGGCACGCCGCTGCTGAACGCGACCCGAGACCAAAGGCCCTCGTGCACCATCGGGAGACATCCGCGGGGCGTGCCCGCCGTGGTGTAGGTACGCAAAGCGATGCGGGCTGATACCGCAGTACAGTGAAGGGAAATGTGTCGCCGCGGGGGGCGACCTGAGCGGTCGGGGGCCGTCGCTCCCCCACGCCAAGAGACTCTGTCCTGAGCGAAACGCTACGGACTTGAGCCAAAATGGCTACGGATCAACAACGACGACGGCGACGACGACGACGACGACGACGACGACAACAACACCAACAGCAACAACAGCAACAACAATAATCATTTTAAGAACGTTCACCCTTATCTGCTCGAGTGTCCAATAACGCATATTTCCCAAACCCTCGATACCCGCCCTCTTCGTCTTCTATCGAATCCCTTTTGGGCGATATACATTTGTTCCATGCAGGCCGGGCCCCGGCAAGCGGCGGGGCGGCCGCGGACCGTCGGCCTGGCCAGCGGCAGCGCTGATCGGCGGGGCGGCCGCGGACCCTCGACCCGACCCCAACAGGGACGGACAGGGAACCGACCACGACGACGACAACGACGACGACGACAACGACTTCGACGACAACGGCGACGACAACGGCGACGACGTCGACGACGAGCGAAAGCGAGAGCGAGAGAGAACGACAGCAGGGCCACAAGGACACGAACTAGGCCATGAAGGGCGACAGCGGGGACCCGAAGGGAATGCGTATGGGGCCAAGAAGAGCGCGAACGAGCGGGGGCCACGAAGGGCAGATAATGCGGGGCCACAGAAGGCAACGATGGGGCCACTGAGGGTAGCAACTGGGCCACGTAGGACAGTGAGTGGGCCACAAACGGCGACAGCGGGGCCACGAAGGGCATGCACATGGGGACACGACGGGCGCGAACGAGCGGGGGCCACGAAGGGCATACATACGTATGATGGGCCGCGGAGGGCAAGGACGGGGCCACTGAGGGCAGCAACGGGGCCACGAAGGGCAGCGAGGGGACCACCACGGGCGACAGCGGGGCCACGAAGGGCATACATATGGGGCCACCACGGGCGCGAACCAGCGGGGGCCACGAACGGCATACATATATGGGGCCACGAAAGGCTGCAACGGGACCACGAAGGGATGCAACGGGGCCACAAAGGGCAGCGAGGGGGCCACGAAGGGCTGCGACGGGGCCACGAATGGCTGCGACGGGGCCACGAAACAAAGCGAGGGGGCCACGAAGGGCTGCAACGGGGCCACGAAACAAAGCGAGGGGGCCACGAAAGGCTGCAACGGGGCCACGAAGGGCAGCGAGGAGGCCACGAGGGGCTGCAACGGGGCCACGAAGGGCAGCGAGGGGGCCACGAAGGGCTGCAACGGGGCCACGAAACAAAGCGAGGGGGCCACGAAGGGCTGCAACGGGGCCACGAAGGGCAGCGAGATTCCGATTCCTATGTAATATGTGAGGGAGTCCTGAGCGTGAGCGCGATTCCTGGGTGCCTGGGTGTCGGGAGCGCGGCGCTTGTTTAAATTGCACGAAATTCCAACGCAAGGGCGTTATTCTTCAGTAAATTGCAAGCAAGTCTCCAGCGAGAGCGCGACTCAAGAGCGCCGGGAGAGCGATTCCTGCATAGCTTGTAAGAAAGTCCCAAGCGAGAGCGCGATTCCTGAATCAAATTCGGGGAAGTCTCGGGCGGGAACGGGGGTCCTGGCTAAATTGTGAGGGCGTCTCAGGCGGGAGTCGTTGTTGTTGTAACTCGGGGGCCAGGTGCCCAAATTTAGCCTCCATACTTTCCCTGCGAAAAACCGGGTGCGAGCGTCGAGGAGCACACTTTGATTGAGAAAAAACCGTATGCACCGGTGGGGGGATCAACAATAATTATTCCCCAGAAATGAGAGTTCTTCAACAGCAACAACAACAACACCAACACCACCACCACCACCACCAACAACAACAACAACAACAACAACAACAACAACAACAACAACGACGACGACGACGACGACGACGACGACGACAACAAGAACAACAACAACCACAACCACAACCACAGCCACAACAACAACAACAACAACAACCACAACCACAACCACAACCACAACATCAACATCAACATCAACATCAACGTCAACAACAACAACAACAACAACAACAACAACAACAACAACAACAACAACAACAACAACAACAACAACAACAACAACGACGACGACGACGACGACGACGACGACGACGACGACGACAACGACAAGAACAGCAACAATAGCAGCAACAACAACAACGACGACGACAATAACAGCAACAACAACAATCAGTTTGGGACTGTTCGTTCTTACCTGCTCGAGTGTCATGCAACGCGTATTTCTCAAACCCTCCATACCCGCCCTCTTCGTCTTCGGTCGTGCCAATTTTGGGGGGGATATCTTTCTTCCCTGCAGGGTGGGGCCCAGCAAGCAGCCAGGCGGCCGCGGACCGTCGGCCTGGCCAGCGGCAGCGCTGATCGGCGGCAACCCGACCCCAAGAGGGACGGACAGGGGACCGACCACGACGACGACGACGTCGACGACGACGACGACGACGACGACGACGACGACGACGACGGCGGCGGCGGCGGCGGCGACGACGACGGCTCTGAAAGCGTTCTGAAACGCTCTGAGGCGATGTATCACTGTCCTAGCCCCGCCCGGCCACTTCCACTGGAACCCAAGGATCGCAAGAGGTTTACGGGCCACTCTCTAATTGCACTCTAGATGACGGTGGAGCCAATAATTCAGACCGCCTGTCAATGATCACCACATCTTCGGGCTGCGTCTCTTCGACGCAGGCGCCAGATGTCTCACACGTGTAGACTGAAGGCAAGCTGGAGGCAAGCTGGAAGCAAGCCAAGAAGATTCGGAGCGCGCCATCGGCAGCAGCACCGCGCCGTGCTGCGAGACTGCCACTGCTCCCTGCGAAGCATTGGCAAGGACCCCAGAAACACGAGATGCCGACAACGCTCCCCTGCGTGCACCAAGAGCAGCGGGGGGGGGGGCCACGACAGGCCCCAAGCTGGCCCCACGGACGCCGCCAGGCACGCCCAGGCCGACTCCGACACAGCACGAGGACGGGCGTGCCCGCGGCCGCCTCGTGCCCATGCACAGCTGCACCACAAGAACACTGCGCACCCGTCGCTCCCGCGCAGACGCCTTGAGAGAGGCGCGCCCTCTCTCCGCGCAGTGCCTTGAACACACACACACACACACACACACACGGGCTTGGTCCGACTTGTGCTCCCGTGTGCTTCTCCATCCGAGAACCAGACGGTGCCCCCGCTACAGCGCTGGCCTCGTTTTAGGATCGGCGCGATGCTCGCGCCGTTCAGAATGGCGCTCTCGCCCCAGCGGATCGGGGTGCGTCCTCGTCAAATTGTAGCCCCGTTCATTTCCCCTCCCGCGCCTTCCCTTGGTACTCCTAATCATGCAGTTCGTCCATGTCCTCGTCCTTCCTCATCGTTCTCCTCTTCCTGCTGCTCATCCTCCTGCTCATCCTCCTGCTCTCCGCCACCTCCTCCTGCAACGTACTCAGCTCACCTTGTCATACTGCGCGTAACACTGTGAGGTCCTTTTGGGTGCTCCAGGTCCGCTACGACACCCGTTAGCGGATAGAGGACAAGTCGGCACGACGGGAAAGCATGGAAGGAAGGGGTAGGATATCAAATGTGGCGCGAGTGCACCTAGCTTGACGGACGTCCACTCTCCGCTCCCCTCCCCCTCTCCCCCCCCCCTCTCCCTGCTGCCCCCCCCCTCACACTTCCCCTCCACAACGGCCCTCACTCCCTCTCTTCTCACCACCTCTCACCATCCCGCAGTTGCCTTCGGGCTCGAAGTGATGAACGAGAAGGGGGAACACTCAAGTGTGCAGAGAGAGACGCGGCGGGATACATGGAGGCACGAGGAGAGCGAGATCGGTGGAGGCACGAAGAGGAGAAGGACGAAGACAACGACGACGACGACGACGACGACAAAAGGAAGGAGGAGGAGCAGCAGCAGCAGCGGCAGCAGCAGGAAGAGCAGCAGGGTCAGGAGGGACGAGGACGGAGGAGCAACGCGCGGGAAGACAAGCACACAGGCTGCAAGAATTCCCTCCCCGTGCCGTAGCGCGCGAGCAGCATCAACACGCGCGACACTGCTCGTCCATCGCGGGCATCTCGCGCTGGGCCACCTGCCCCCCATCGGCCTGCCTCCTGTTGCTACTGTTTGCTGGAGGTGCGGGCGTTCCCAGGCGCTCTCGGGCGCTCCCGGGCGCTGGGCGCTTCCAGGACTTGTCGCATGACGCTTCGGAGCCGCGAGGGCCCCAAGACAGGACACGAGGGCCCCAACAGCCCCCCAAGATGGTCCAAGAGGCTCCTGAACCGACCCAAGAGCCCTCCAAGATGCCTCAGATGGCCTCCAGAAAGCCCAGGAGGACCCCAAGACGCCCCAAGAGGGCTCCAGGAGGTCCCCTAAAGGGCCCCGGGAGGCCTAAGTAGTGGCGGCCTCGTCTTTTTGGGCATCCAAGACTGCCCAAGCGGCCCCCGAGATCGCCCCAAGACTACCCAAGAAGCCCAAGAGGGCCCCAAGACGCCCCGAGAGGCCCCCAAGAGGGCCCCAAAGGCCCCAAGAGGCCCCAGAGAGGGAACACGAACCAATATTCCAAGCTCTCCACCCCAAGCCGACCTCCGAGACCGCAATCAGCCCCCGAAGACGCCCCCTAGAAGCTCCAGGTGGTCCCCAGGAGGCCCAAATCAGGCCCCACCTAACCCCTAAGAAGTCCCCGCGGGGCCCCAAAAACATCCCCAAACCGCCTCCATGAGGCTCCAGAGAGGCTATGTATGTGTGTATCGATGTGTATGTATGTGTCAATGCATACATGTGTATACACATTCCTGGTAAGATCGCATCCGCTCGGTATATTGGAGTACATACATGAGTAGCCCGACATGAACATGTATGTGTACACATGTCTGTTTGAACACAAACACATGTATAAGCAAGGTGTAGAAAGATGCACCCGCGCACGTATGCACAGAGACGTACACACGTAGAGGAGCACATACAGGTGTACACATGTGGATGTGGGCACGCACACGTGTAGATTTATATGTAAACGCACGTGTACATACATGTGTCTAAATAAAGTACGTGAACGGATATGGGTATGGTGATACTCCCTGAACAGTGCTTGCAAGTATGGGTTCTTACTTCTGTTCAAGGGAACTAGTCCGTGTCTTCGGTCTGGCGGCTACGTGGCCGCCGTCGCCGCCCCGTCGCCGCCTCGTCGTCGCAGGTCGTCACGGCCGTGTCTTCGGGCTGGATGCTATGTGGCCGCCGTCGCCGCCCCGTCGCCTCATCGTTGCCGCCCGTCGTCTGGGACTGACGGTCGGTCTGGCGGCTGCGCTGTCGCCGTCGCCGCCCCGTCGCCGCTTCGTCGTCGCGACAAAGACTGCGCCACACAACCTAGATTACACAACATAGAGTGCACAGCATAGGTTACACCACATGGACTGCAACCCATCTTTTGAAAAAAAAAAAAAAAAAAAAAAAAAAAAAAAAAAAAAAAAAAAAAAAAAAAAAAAAAAAAAAAAAACGCAGATGGTACCACATAGACTGCTCCACCTAAAGAGCACAACACTTATTCCGCACCACATGGATTGCCCAACATTGACTGCATCGAATCGATTGCACCACATTTACACAGCCGGGACAAAGGTTCCTTCATGTTGCGATGATGATGATAGATCCGACACTTGTAAAGATTCCTAAAATGACATGATAACTGCGCCCGTCAGCGGAGCAGTTTCCGGTCAGCTTACGCTTACAACTCTGTCACCCCCAAACGAAATTACGAAGTTGCGGCATGCCACCGCGGCCACTGGGGCCTTCGGTTGAGCTCCCCATGGGGCCGCGTATCAAACGGAGATGCGCCGACATGCCGAGCTGGCGACATGCGACTGCAGCCACTGGGGCCCTCTGGAGCGTTCCCCCCAAGACCCCCGATCTCAACACAGTAGAGATTTTCTGGGGCTGGCTTCGCAAGAAGCTTCGGTCGGCAAGATGCGCCAACCCTGGGCAAGACGGCCTACACCGCCAGGGTCAAGGGGGTCCTTAAGTCGGCCAAGGCCCAGACGGTGGCGAAGAACGTGGCCGGCAGGTTCCGAAGGCCTGCAAGCAGGTCGTGGACCGCAAAAGGGCCGCTGCAGACAATTAGTTTTCGCTTGCTCGGCCGCAGTTGCACAGAGCCGGGACAACAATTTCTTCACTTTGCCATGATGATGGCATCACCGATCCTTCAAACAAGAATCCTAACATGACGTGATGACTGCGTCATTCGGCGGAGCAGTTCCCGATCTAAGTCTGTCACCCCAAAACCAGATTGGAAATCACTTCGCTCCAAACCCTGTGAGTTATCGAGCGGGATGCGCCCACGCGCGGAGTGGTTGGAGCATTTCTACTCCGCACTACTCCGCGCTGATGCGCTATTGGCGAAAGCAGAATGGAAGAAACTTTCGTCACGGTGATGTATTGAACCACATGGATTGCACAACCTGGACTGCGCAACCTACATTGCACCACATACGAGTGCACCACATATATTGCACCACACATTTTGCTCCACATATATTGCACGACATATAGTGTACCACATAGGTTGCACCGCATATATTGCAACCCATAGGTTGAACCACATGTATTGCACCACACATGTTTCTCCACATAGGTTGCACGACGTATAGTGTACCACATAGGTTGCACCGCATAGATTGCAACCCATAGATTTCACGATATATGTAGCACCACACAGGTTGCGCAACATGGACTGCACCGCATAGATGCACCACATGCGTTGCACCACATCGAGTGCTCCGCATGGACTGTACACCATCGATTGTACCACCTAGATATCCATACCTATATATATGTGTGAATATAGCACCTTGAGAATCGAGCGCCTAGATTGCAGAAGCACTTGCACATCGTACGTACGTATGTAGACGTATGAACATATCTATATAGGTGTGCATGTGCATACCGACATGCTGCTAGAAGCACACGGTTTGGTTTACACGCTGGCGAACCTGTACATATATATATATATATGTATATATATGTGTGAGAGAGAGAGTAAAAGTGTGTACCGATATATGAATGTGGTCGTGCGTGTGTGTATAAATGTGTCATACCCAGCTCGCTATCTGAATATATCTACCTCTCTACCCCCCAGAGACCAAACACATGCACATACGCGAACATATACACACGTATCGCTACTGGCTCATGCAGCGAGCAGTGCCGGGCATATTCCAACCCGATCAAACACAATTCCGATTGCAACATCCACGTGCGGCATGCACGCGACTCCCAACCCATGGTCTACACGAAGAAGGTGTGGTCGTCCCTGCTGCAGTGATCAAGGAATTGTACCGCATCAGATGTCAGCCAACAAGCATTTCATCACAAACTGTTGCACATGACTGCATGCGCCCCTCCAAGGGGCACAAGCTGCCCCTCCTCCCGCCAGATGGAGAGTCATAGACCGTCTCGTCTGCTCCAGTTCCTTATCAGCATGTTTCATCATCTAGAGGAGTGACTATAAAATCAACAACGGCGGGTAAACATGCGAGGCCACTCGCACAATGATCCAACGCTCACGGAATGTAGGGACATCTTGTCCACGCAATCATGTCGCGCGCTAGCGCTAGCATGCACAAACCCAGTTGGAAATTCCACTCCAAGAGAGCGCACTGTGCATGCAAAAGTGAGAATACTTCCATCATCCGAGTCTGTGGAGAGCCACGCACAGGACGATAATGCACATTGCCTCCCAGTTTGCTCCACGTATCCTTCAATCCTTGCCTCCTCCTCCCCCCCTTCCCTCGGACCCACTCCACACACACACACACACACGCGCGCGCGCGCGCCCGCATTGAACATGCCGCACTCGCACCTGCGGAAGCGGTTGAATCGAGCGCGGCTTCAAAGAAGCGGCACGCATTTACTGCCTGCGGCGCGGCTTCTGAACGATACGGTGCCTCCTGCAGGTTGAATTGCGGCGGCACGACGAAAGGACACACACACACACACACATTTTTGGTCGGCACCCACGTTCGCAGCACCGCGGGGGTCTGAGCGGGTGCGAAGCCGCAGCCGAGCGAGCTGCGAGGAGAGACGGAACGGGGGAGGCGGCGTCAGTGGTGGCGAAAGCGGACGACCAAGGACGCAGAGACAACACACACACACACACACACGTGCACACATCTCGTGTTCTGTCCTCCATGATTCTCGGTCACGTTCCCCCCCTCGCCGCCGCCATTCCTCCTCTATCCATCCCTCGTGGCCCCCCTCTCCCTTCCTCACGCAATCACCCCCCGTCCCCCCCCCCCCCGCACCCCATCAGTCACGCCCCTTCGTCCGTCCTCATCCTCCCATGCTTCCCCCAATTCTAACCCCCCTTTCCTTTCCGCCTGCCCGCCCTCCCTCCCTTCTCCGTCCCGTCCCTCCACCGACCCCATCGCTCACCGCAGTCATCCCACCCCACCCCACCTCCCCCCCCGCCCACCCCACCAACATCAACTACTCATCCATAGCGAGCCTGGCCAGGCCCGTCCCTGGCCCGCAACTTGCGCATGGCCAGATGCTGGCAGCTGACCAGACCAGGGCAAACTGTGCACAAAGTCTGGGCCTGGGACGGGTCAGGGTAGCCTCATTGAGCTTCCCTGGGCGGCGTGACGAAGGAGAAGAAGCACGGCAAGCGAATCCCGTGGCACGCGCCTCCGTAGCTCGGAGGCCGCTGACGCAGCGCCAGACCTCATGAGCGGTGCCGCATGGGAGAGTGCGTGACAGAAGAGCGCACCGCTCCCGATCGGTTCTTGCAGGCCGGCGACGGCACGATCAAGTGGCAGCTCGAGCACGACGGGGAATAAGCAGTGCCTGATCGACTTCCACGCGCGGAATGGGCGCCCCGCGCAGGTGCGCACAGCACCTGATCGACGTCGGCGGCCATGGCAGCGCGCATACCGCGGGAGAGCAGCACATTTTCAGCGACTGCCCCGCCAGCAAGACCGCCAGAGCCGCGCTCCAGCCCCGGCGCCCGCAAGAGTCTGGGCAACTGCGAGGCCACGGCAGGGACCGGGAGGCAAGCCTCACGCCGAGCGCGGGCAGGCCGCGAGCGGCAGTGAGCGCCCGCGAGAGGGGAGCTCGTAAAGCTGAGCATCGTGTCACCGATCCCTGTCCCCACCGGCGTGGCCTGGGCCCCACTGGCCGACTGGCCCACCCGGGCGGGGACACCTGCTGCCGCCCGCGGGCTTCGCGAAGCCGATCCCCCCGTGGGGGAGGGATGCGGGCTCGGAGGCCCGAGGAACCGTGGCCCGGTGGGGGTGGGGATCGGCTGCTTGGGCGACGCGCAGGCGGCGCTCGTGCAGCAGAGCGAGCGGAGCCCAGACTTCTTGTCGGCAGCGCTGGCGGTCGCAAGCACGTCCGCAGAGCCGAAGCGCCAAGCCCAGACGTGCGAAAGCCTGCTTTCTTCCATACGGGGCCCCCGGAAATCCCGAGCCTCGACCCGGGGCCGGGTTCACCGCGAGCCGTTGTCTGATAGTCCAGGGTCCCGACGAGGGCCCCAAGAAGCCAAAAACAGCCAAAAGCCTCCCGTCATGACTTTGCAGCACGCGAGCACGTCTGGGAGCGGAGGCGGGAGCTGCCAATTGATTGGCAGCTCCCGCCACTGCCGTCCGCTGCCGTCCACTGCCGCCGCTTGCTGCCGCCCGTACACTGCCGCCGTGAAGTGGCCGTCCGCTGCCGTCCACTGCCGTCCGCTGCCGCCTTCCCCCTGCCGTCCGCTGCCGTACACCGCGCTCGCTGCCGTCCACTGCCGCCGCCTGAAGACGGCGGCGGTGGACGGCAGTGAGCGCCCCGGCGTTCCCAGGCCCCACCCGCTTCGGGCCGAGAGGGGCCGCGAATGCGGCGCGGCCTCCCTGGCGCGACGAGCGGTGCGCCCCTCTGCGCGGCGGGTGGCGGAGCCTCCCAGCCGTGGACTACGCCTCGCCGGCCCTCGCCGGCCCCTGGCGGCCTTCCCCTCGGCGGCCTTCGGCGGCCCTCGGCGGCCCTCGGCGGCCCTCCGCGGCCCTCGTCGGCCCTCGGCGGCCCCCGCCCCCGGAGCCGCACGGCCGTCGGCGGCGAAGGATGGCCGAAAGACTTCCCAGAGTTGGTGAGGCTGCACAGGCGTGTCCCCTGCAGAGAGGTCGGCATGGTGCATCTCTTGAGCAGCCCGAACGGCCCCGAGGGGCCGCCCAGCCCGTAGGCAAGGCTGCCGCACAGACTGCGCCACACCGCGCATGGCCCTGCTGCCACCCGATCCCAGCAAGACCCTGCGCACAGAAAGTAAGTTCGGCCCTGGATGACGCAAGCACAAAACAGTCGAACGACTGGCATACCTAGCGCCTAAACATGATCCTGGCGAATGGACCAACCATATGAGGCTGCGAATACAGATGGGTAAGCGAGGAGGAGGGGGACGAGCAGAATGACGGACTGGCGCGCATCAAAGTGAGGAGGTCGAGCGGTCATTCACTGTCCCTGGGTGCGTGGCTGAAATGGGGCTCCGCGCTGCGGATTGCTGTTGCGTTGCGTTGTTGTCGTCGTCGTCGTCGTCCTCGCCCGCGATCCGCCCGCGGCCCACTCGCGACCCACCGCGCGACACAACCCGCCACCAACCCGCAACCCACCCGCGACCCACCCGCGACTCATCCGCGACCCACCCGCGACCCACCCGCGACCCACCTGCGATTCGCCCGCGACCCTCCCGCGACCCACCCCGCGCCCGCCCCCTCACTCCTATCCGCAACTGCGGAGTGCTACATTTTCTGGAAGGGTGGCGCCATGCGAACACCGCCGCTGGGAGCTTCGGCGAGCTCTCTCGATGGGGTCATGAAACTCGTGGAGGGTGTGCCGCATTGCATGAGGGGCGTGCTGAAATGGGAGCGGGTACGCCATGCGAGCCCTGCTGCTGGAGCGTCCGGTGGAGCTATGGGATCGCGAAAAACCAGAGCCAGAGGAGTGTGCCGAAATGAGGCGGCGCCGCATGCCCCTTTTGTATTTGAGCCTTGGTTGGGGCTCCCTATGTGGCAACGAACCGCGTGGGAGGCGTGCCGAAATGAGGCGCCGCCGACATGTGGCCTTTGGAAGTTGGGCCTACTTGGAACTCTTTGGGGCAATTGAGCCGTGGTAGGGGCTCCCTGTGGGGACGAAACAAGTAAGGGGCATGCCGAAATGTGCGCCGCCATGCGGCATTTGGCATCTGGGCCGTCGTTGGAGTTTCCCATGGGGCCACGAAACGTGTGAGGGGCGTGCCGAAATGGGCACGCGGAGGGCAGAAGCAAGGATGAGAGGATGGAGGAGGAGCGGAAGGAGGAAGGAAAGAGGAGTGAGGCGGGGCCCCGTTTTTTCAAAACGAGAACCCGACACCACAAGATGGTTGGGAATCACCTTTCGGAGGTCCGCGCGGACTTCTTGGATCGTCGCTGACCCCCCTCCCTGGAGCGCGGAGCGCGCCAGGGGCGGGGTGGAAGCGCTGCCAGGGGGGGGCCCGGCGCCGATCCGAGAAAGCCGCGCGGACCTCCAGCAGCTCGTGATCGATGCCGTGGCTCCTCCTTCGACAGACGCTGGTGCCGATCTCGGTCACCGTCAGCTCGTGGATCGCCCTCGCGCACCGGCGACGGCCGGCGTGGACCACGGCCGAGCCCGGCGTCGACGGGGTCCCGCAGCAGCTTGGCCGCGGCCCTCGAGGAGCCGCCGCCGGCCTGCGTCCCCGCTCCCTGCCCGTGCCCGCCCGCCGACCTGCGGAGCTCCGAGGGCGGACGGCTCCGCCGGAGGCTCCTCTCCGACTGCGGGGGGGGGCGCCTGCCTGCCACCCTCTGGCGGCGCGCACGAGGGGGTGCGCAAGGGGGAGCGGCAAGGCTCCGTACGGAGGAGGCTGCTTCGTAGAAAGCGCGGGCCTCAGAGCCGTGGATGAGGCCCGTGCCTCCTGCGCGGCAGGGGCGCCTCAGAGGGGCCTGCCCCCTCCCTCTCCTGCCCCCCTTTCTGCGCGAGGCTGACAGCTGCCCCTCTCCAAAAATGCGGGGGGCGCCCGCCTGCCCCCCCCCCCCCGAGCCCCCCGGGGCGAGAGAGGGGCAGCCGCGGCGCACGCCACGCAGAGTCCTGCGGACGCGCCCTGCAGCGCCGCCTCGCCCAGCTTCAGCACCCGCTCCAGCGCGGGGACGCCGATGCGCTCGAGCCTCCCGGCGGTCCACGGCGGCACCGGCGGGGCCCGGCCCGCAGGAGCAGGAGCTAAGAGGCCGGCAAACCTCTCGGAGGCTTTCGGGGGGTGCCGCAGGTTCCCGGGCAGTTTTCCGGCCTCGGGGCGCTGCTCAACGTTCCGGAGGTGCCGAGATCGCTCCAAGCGGCCGACGCCGCTGCCGTAGGAAGCAGCTGGGGATGCAAGCCGTGCCGAGCAGACAGCCCACGAGAAGGCCTCCGTTGCCGACGTGCCCTGGGTCAATCTCGGGAGGAGCTGGCGGATCGGGGGCGTGCGAGATGGGCACGTCCAGAAGGGAGGTTCGCGAATCGTGGCCCGAGGCACGTGCGCGGCCCTTGGGGGCGGGGAGGACAAGGAGGACGAGGACCCCCCCTTAGCGCCCCCTCCCCATTTTTATACACCGCCGTTCCTCTGTCCTGCGTTTCGTCCACATATGGGGGGCGCCTCGTCGTGCGTGATTTCCCTCCCTTGTTCCTCCCGTGTCGTCCCCCTCCTCGTTTCTCCCTCCCCTCTTGGGGTACACCCCATTTTGGCTTGTGGCGCCACCTTTCAATACGGGCCCTGCCTCCCTGTTTGGGGGGGCAGGGCTGGGAACGGCTACAGGAGAACACCATGACCGCCGTCAGCAGCAGCAGAAGGAAGAAAAAGAAAAAGGGGAGAGGGAGAGGGGGCTGAGATCTGTGGCAGTCTTGGGAGCCTTCTGGGCCTGTTCAATAGGTCAAAACTTTGTTAGCCACTTTCGAGAGCCGCTGGGGAGTCCACCGGAATGACGTCCCACGCAAACCCAAAGTACACCTCGCCATCCCTGGGGGCAGCGAACTGCGAAACTGTTACCACGCTCGGGGACCTCTGGGGGGTCCAGCGGGGTGACGTCACACGCCGACCGAAATTAAACCTCGACATCCCTGGGGGGCTGCGAATTGCGAAATTGCACCTCTTTCCAGGGTTGCTCGGGGATACAGCGGGGTGACGCCACACGCAACTCAAAATGAAACCTCGCCATCCCTTGGGGGGGTGCAAATTACGAAACTGTGGCCACTTTCGAGGGTTGCAGGGGGGGAGCTAACTGGCGTCCTACGCAGACTCATACACTAGATCTCGCAATCCCTGGAGGGTTGCCATATGCGAAACGGTCGCCACGCTCGAGGGCCTCTGGGGGGTCCAGCGGAATGGCGTCATACGACGACCAAAATTAAACCTCGCCGTCCATGGGGGGCTGCGAATTGTGAAGCCACTTTCCAGGGCTGCAGGGGGGGCAACGGGGTTACGTCACACGCAACCCTAAAATTGTCTTCGCCATCCCGGGAGGGGGGCCTGCGAACTGCGACAATGCCGCCACGCTCGAGGGTTGTTGGGGGGAGGCAGCAGAATGGCGTCAAACGTATATGAAACCTTGCCGTCCCTGGGGGGGGGGTCCGACGAAGCGGTCGCCATTTTCAAAGGTTGCACGGGGGCACAGTGGAGCGACGCCCCACGTAGACACAAACTAGACATTGCCATCCCTGGGGGATTCGACATGCGAAACGATCGCAGTTTCTAGACCTGCGGGGGGGCCGGCAAATCGACACGCTACGCAGACTCATACTAAACCTCACCATCCTGGGAGGCCGAGGGGGGGCTGGGATCTACGAAACTGCTGCCGCTTCCGAAAGCCTCACGGGGTCCAGCAAAATGACGCCCTACGCAAATTCAAACCAAGCCTCACCGTCCACTACGAGCTGCGAGCTGCGAAACTGCGGCCACTTCCGATGGCTGTTGGGGGGTCCATCGGAGTGACGGCCCACGCAGACCTCGATTAGAACTCGGCACCCCTGTGGGCTTGGATATGCGAAACCGTCGCCGCTTTCGAAAACAGCTGGAGGGTCCAGCGGAATGAGGGCCCACGCGAACCTAAGTTGGACCTCGCCGTCCTGGGGGGGGCGATCTGCGAAACTGACGACCCACGCGAACCAAAATTGCACCTCACGATTCCTGGGGGGGGGCCGCGGCGGTCTGCGTAGCTGTCGCCATTTTCGAAGGTTGCTGATGGGGTCCCTCAGAATGACGTCCTACGCACACTCAGATTGGACCTCACCATCCCTCGGGGGCTGCGATCTGAGAAATTGTCGCCATTTTCGCGGGCCTCTGGGGAAACCAGCAGAATGGCGCCCCACGCAGACGTAAACCTCGCTATTCCGGGGGACGCGGGAGGAAACTGCGAAAGGGTCGCCAATTTCGAAGAGTGCTGAGCGGGGGGGGGGCCAACGGAGCGACGCCCCACGCATACCGAAATTTGACCTCGCCATCCCTGGGAGGCTGCGAACCGCGAACTCGTTGCAATGTTCGACAGAACGCGTTTCACGGGCGCTTGCCTTGGGAACTTTCGGCGGCGCGTTTCAAACCGGGGGATGGGCCCCCCCAACACTCGGCGCCGTCGATCAAAACCAAGGGGACTCCCCCCCCCCCCCCACGCCCCCCCTTCCCGAACCCCCCCCCCCCCCCTCGGCGCCAGCGCCGGCGCTGGCGGCCGCCGGCAGCGCCCATGGCGGGGACGCCGCAACGATGACCAGACGCAGCCCAGGTGGGGGGGCGTTCAACCCCCCCCCCTCCCCCCAAGAGAAGGGGGGGCTCAAACCCCCCCCCTCAGCGCCGGCGCTGGCGGCGGCCAGCAGCGCCGGCGCTGGCGCCGGCAACGGCGGGAACGCAGCGACGATTACCACCACTACCACCACCACCACCACTAACACCACCACAGCCGCGTCAACCCACCACCACCACCACCACCACCAACAACAACAGCACCACACAACCACCACCACCACCACCACCACCACAGCCACCACCACCACCACAAGCACAACCGCAGTTCACCACCACCACCACCACAAGAACCCACCACTACCCCCGCCACCACAGTCTACCACACCACCACTGCAACCACCACCGCCACAACCACCACCACCACAACCAGCAGCACAACCCACCGCAACCACCACAAACCACCACACCACCACCACCACCACCACAACAAACGTCCCCAAACCACCGCCACCGCCACAACCCAGCAGCACCACCACCACAAACCACCACCACACCACCACAACCACCACCACCACCACAACTCACCATCACCACCACAACAAAAAAACCCACCACACCACCACCACTACCGCCACAACCACCACCACTACCGGCAGCACAACCCACCACCACCACCACAAACCACCACACCACCACCACCACCACCACCACCACCACCACAAGCACCACTTCCACAAACCACCGCCACAACCACAACCCACCACCACCACCACCACAAACCACCACCACACGACCACCAGAGCACCACCACCGCCACCACAACCCACCACCACCACCACCACCACCACCACAAACCACCACCACACCACCACCCAACCACCATCGCCACCACCACCCACCGCCACAACCACCACTACCACAACAAACCACCACACCACCACCACCACAACCACCACCACCGCCACCTCCACCACCACCACCACCACAACCCACTACCACCACCACCGTCTTCGTCGACGCTCTCCGCCACCGCCGCCCGCCGCCGCAGGCGCCGGCGCCGGCCAAGAAATGGAAATCGTCGTTCCCGCCGCCGTCGCCAGCCGCCGCCGACCCAAGCGCAGCGCTGGCCCGAGGGGAGGGGAAGCATGGGGGGGTCCGGTTCCAAACCCCCCGCCCTCCAAGCGACCACAGAACGCGCTCGTTCCAATGTTCAATGGCTGCTGGGGGGATCCAGCGGAGCGACGTCCCAGTACCCCCACCAGCGCGGTAGGTTCTGCAGTTGCCTGCGCGCGCGCTAGGCAATTAGTTCTGCTCGTAGCCCGAACCGACCTGTGACGCCGCCGGCGCCTTCGCCTGCGGTTGCGACAAAAAGTGCCCCCACCAGCTCCTCTCCAGCGTGCGGTCGCCGCCCGACCGCTCGCCCTAACTACGTCCAGTGCGCTAACTGTCGCTTCTGCATCTTTGTGACCTTATACGGCACAGTTCCGGTCACCTTGGAAGGAGCGTTCGCACTGGACCGCCGTGCAGGCTCGACATATACGGGACGCGTTTGGATGTTCTACGTCTTGCACGTTCATTATGATATACTTTACTTGCGCCTCACTGGTTGCACGGTTGCAACTTGGCTTTCAATGACATGCCGTTCTACAAGGGCGCCCTGGGGACTGTTGCTTCGGTGCCAGCAGGGAGGTCGCTTCCTTGCTGCTGGGACTCTTCTCTTCGTTATGGGTGTGCCGACGTTGGGAAGTCGTCGCCGTGCCCTGGTTCCGCGCCAGTTTGGCCGCGACCAGCTCAGCGGGGCTTCTGATGGGGTCGCTCCTGCTCGCTGTTGTTTCCTTCCGTCGGCGCGTAGCCCGCCCGCCATGCACGGCTTTCGACTTGCTTCGCGAGCCCGCGTACCAAAAAGTATCCCCACCAGCCCCGCCACAAACGATGCCCAGGCGAGTTGCCTTAATCAGGGTGGCGGAGGAGCACGCGGTGAATCAAGAGCGAGCTGGGGAAGCCGTCAGAATGAAGCCTTGGATCAGCCTGCGCAGACCCAGAAGCGAACCGTATGCGCCTTCGCGGACCTGCCGAATGAGGAAAGGCGGGGAAAAAGGACGAGGGGGATGAAGGAGAGGAGGGGGAGGAGGAGGAGGAGGAGGAGGAGGAGGAGGAGGAGGAGGAGGAGGAGGAGGAGGAGGGAGGAGGGGAGGGGGAGAGGGGAGGGGAAGGAGGGAGGAGGGAGGGGGGGAAATAGGCGGATGAAGAGGAGGAGGAAGAAGAGGAGCATGGCGAGGTTGGGAGATTCTTGGGGCGTCTTGGGGGCCTCTTGGCGGTCCCGCGGGCCTCTTTGCTTACCTCGGGGAGCCTCTTGAGGCCTCTTGGGGGTCTCTTGGGAGCCTCTTGGAAGCCTCTTGGGCGCCTCTTGGGGTCTCCTTGGTGCGTCTGTGGGCCCTCTTGGGGCGCTCGTGGGAGGCTTGGGGACGCGTTTGGAGCCATCTTGAAGGACATCGATTAAAGAAGGGAGGAGCTTCAATTAGCCTTGCCCCTCTAGACTGCATTGGCGCTTCGCGCCATGCACTCTGGTCCTTAAAGATCGGCATGCAGGCGGACGTCGCGGCGGAAGGACAGGAAGGTAAAGCAGAACAAATAGCGATAACTCCTCCTTACCTTGTCCTGCATCCTCGTCGTAATGATGTAGTTCGGTATCCTTCCCTCATGCTTCCTCTTCCTCTTACTCATTCTCGCCCTCCCCTGCGATTTTTTCCCCATCCTCCTCTGCCCTTTCTTTGGAGGCTCCTCCTTGGAGAGCTTCTTGGGGGCCTTATGATAGTTTTACCAGGCTTCTTGGGGCCTTCTGGAGGCCCCCTGGGCGCCTTCCGGGGGCCTCTGGGGGATTCCTCAAGCCACCCTGCTTCCAACTGCGGTCTCCCTGGACGGCCAGGTCACGATTTGGATTGCTTCAGGGGGGCGTCTTGATTCCATCTTGGGCCGTCATGGGGCTCTCTTCGGGCCATTTTGGGGCCCTGTTGGGCCGTGTTGGGGGGTCTCTTGGACTGCCTGAAAGCCCTTTCGGATAGTTTGGCGTGATGTTCGGACCTCTTGGGCGGTCTCGCACGCCTGGAAGACCGAAGAACAGAGCATTCCCAAAATCATGCAAAAACAATTGGAATTCCATGTTTTTCTGCATTTCGGACGTCTCTCTTGGGGGTTCGGGCGTCTGGTGAGTGTTTGGGGCCTCTTGGGGCCCTCGGGGGCTGTTCGGCCGCCCTCCTGACCGATTTGGGCCCGCTGCCTGGGCCCAGCACGGGCTTCCAGGAGATTCCGAAAGCCAGGAGACCTTCGGCAGGGGCGTCCAGGGAGCCGCCGGGGCCAGGGATCCGGAGGGTCCCCTTTAGAGGGGGTCACAGCATCCGAGATTAGAACTATATAGTGAAGGGAATGCATACGCATACAGCTAATAAATGTGTATATATATAGAGAGAGAGAGAGAGCGAGAAAGATTGCACCCCCCTCTGCTGTTTCAAAAATGGTACTCCTGCTGCAGCGTGGCCCTCAGTAGAGGAACGTCGCTCTGCTCCCGTCGTTCAGGATGACGCTTTCGCCCAAGCGCGGACCACGCTACTGGATGCGGGTTCTTCCTCGTCGTTATTGCCCCGCTACTTTCCCTTCCCCCGCTCTCCCCTGGTCATCCTGCTCCTCCCGCTCCTCCCAGTCCCACTCCTGCTCATGCTGCTGCTGCTGATGATGATGCTGCTGGTGCTGGTGTTGGTGCTGTTGCTGCTGCTGATGCTGCTGCTGCTGCTGCTGGTGTTGGTGCTGGTGCTGGTGTTGGTGCTGTTGCTGTTGCTGCTGTTGCTGCTGCTGCTGCTGTTCCCTCTCGTCCTCCTCGCTCCTCCTCCTCCTCCTCCTCCTCCTCGTCCTCCTCCTCCTCCTCGTCCTCCTCCTCCTCCTCGTCATCCTCCTCCTCCTCGTCATCCGCCACCTCCTCCACTTCCTCGTCCTCGTCCAGTGTACGTACGCAGCTCCCCTGTCTGATTGCGGAGAGCACGATGGGATAAATTAGCGGGTTCTGGGTCCGCTATGACACCCATCGGCGGATACAGAGAAACAATGAGCCCAATGAGAGGGGACGGGTGGGATAGGTAGGATGTCAGATCTGGCGTGGGAGCACTTAGCTTGTCTATTCCCTGCTCCTCCCTCCTCCTCCCCCTCCTCCTCCCTCCGCTCCTCCCCCTCCAAAGCCTTTGCGGCCCCCGCCCCCGAGCGAATGTGAAGCGACGAGGAGCAGGGAGGGATGATGTGGGCAGGACAATGTGCGAGAGCACGAGGTGGAGGTGAGGGGCAGGAGGAGGTAAGGAGGAATTGCGGAGGAGGAGGTGAGGATCAGGAGGAGGTGAGGATGTGAGGATTTGAGGATTCGAGGAGGACGAAGCGCAGAAGAACGAGAGGGTGGGCCGCAGCAAGACGATGAGTGGAGGGAGCGCTGCATCTCGATCACCCGCACGTTGACGAGGTGCAGGAACGCGTCGGCCGTGATGGAGCACTGCACCGCGAGCGCAGTCAGCTCGGCGATGTCGTC